TATTATTATTAATTGTTTTTAGTTTGTTGCGCTAATCTGCAAGTCTGAGATGAGTGCTTCTCGCTAGGGTCCACATCTCCCTGAGGTAACGTCTCCTTTTGTTGTTTTCCCTGGAAAACTGCCGTGTGCTGAGCAGAATGTCATGATGAAGAAAAAAAGGGGCTTTTCAAGAGGTTTCGGACCTTGGTCACGGTGTCTGCTCAAACAGTCTAATGATCTAATGTCCCAATGTTTTTGCTCTTGTTATAGCCCCTAGTGTTGTTGTTGTTGTTGCTGTTGTTATTGTTCTTGTTTTTTGTTATTGCCGTGCGTTGTTATGTTGTTGTTGTTGTTGTTGTTGTTGTTCATATAACATCACTATCACCACTACCTTCACCATTATTACAACATCACTGCCCCTCCCACGTACCACTACGACAGTTTTGCTCTCACCATTTTCACCTTCCTTTTGTCTCCAGCTTCGGTTCTTGACCCATTGCAACATTTTCATTTCCGGTGCGGGGGTCAAACCACGTCTACAACGTACACACCTAGTTTCTATTTCTCAAGCACAGAGTCGGCACCCGAATAGACAGCTCAAGTAACGAAAGAATATCTCCCGTTAAGTGAACAATAATAGGATGAAAAGAGTAATTTCCATCTTTCCCATTCTTTTTATCCGACCACTTCCTCGCTCCGTAGCAACTTCGTTCTATTCTTGGCTTCTAATCAGCCGGCGAATCACGACACAGCCCCAGAGTAAAGTTAGTTTCCAGAAATTGATATCATCAGGAATGCTGGACAAGGAAAGTGGAGCTTAAGAGGGAAGTGGGTAAATTCGATTTTATTCTATTTACGAACTTTTTGTCTCGCCACTCCCATTAATGGTTGGTTGAAAGGGTCTTTGTAAAAGTGATGTCTTAAAGTCAGGCTGAGTTCGTATTAGGCTCTCGGACTCGCAACCGTAAGGTCGTGGGTTCGAATCCCGTCAAGGGCCCGACGTTGTGTCCTTGGGAAAGGCACTTTACACGAATT